CTCTCGTGTGTGTGTGTGTGTGTGTGTGTGTGTGTGTGTGTGTGATTTTTCAAGATGAGGGTTTCTCTATGTAACAGTCTTGGCTGTTCTGGAACTCTCTCTGTAGACCAGGCTAGCCTTGAGCTCATAGACCCCCCTTGCCTCTGCCTCTCAAGTGCTGGGATTAAAAGTATGTGCCACCTCACCCAGCTAATCCTTTGTCTCTTATTTAAAAATAAAAAATAAAAAAAACATATACATGTATATATATGTTGTTGCAGTATACATTTAATGTCAATAAAAATTATTGTCTTTTGAAATAGTTTTACTCTCAACTTATTTCTGCTGAGTTGATAGAAATGAATTTCTCCCTGAGATAGTTTGGTTTGCAGTTATCTCAGCCCACAAGTTTTAGTATTCAAAAAGACTTCTTTGTAAGTAAGATGTACAAAGATCTACTTGGGATTGATTTTGTGTAAGGAAATGACCGAAGCCCCGCGAGAAGTCTGAAGGGCTGGTCGTTTGTTACAGACGTTGTCAAAAGATTGTCAGCGCTGCAGAGGGCAGTGCAGGGAGGAGCATGCATTTGGATTCCTTTGCTGTCTCTGCAGGCTTCTTCCACCGCGACTTAAAGCCCGAGAACCTCCTCTGCATGGGACCAGAACTTGTGAAAATTGCAGACTTTGGATTGGCCCGAGAAATCCGATCAAGACCTCCGTACACAGATTATGTGTCTACTAGATGGTAAATGCTATTTATCTCAAAATTATTTAATTGTGCTTCTTTCAAAAGATATAATTTATAAGGCTAACTGGTGATACACACTTCTTATTCCCAGCACTCAGGAGACAGGTGGTGCTTTGTGATGTTATTGCCAGCCTGGTTATTGAACTACAGAGTGAGTTCTAGTCTAGCCAGGGCTACATAGTGAGACCCTGTCTCAAAAAAAAATCAAAACAACAGAAACAATAAAACTTTATACTGAGAACATTATTAATCATAAGCATTAATTTCTCACTAAAAGGAAAAAACAGTTCAAACACTGTAGATATTTTGTTACTGAATGAAGATATAACCTTGTGTTAAACAATTTTAAAAGGAAACTCATCATATTGTCCAAAGTCTAAATAATTTTTAAAGTCTTTAGATTTATTATTTTATGTGTGAGTGAGTGTTTTGCTTGCATATATATGTGGTGTGTGTGTGTGTGTGTGTGTGTGTGTGTGTGCGCGCGCGCACACGCGCGCGCGCATGCCTGGTGCCTATGGAGGTTGGATGCTCTAGAACTAGAGTTACAGATGGTTGTGAGCTGTCATGTAGGTGCTGGGAATTGAACCTGGTTCCTTTGCAAAAGCAACATGGGCTCTTAATGGCTGAGCCAATTCTCCAGCCCTTGTATAGTTAATTTTTGTACAAAAGCTTTTCTGAGGATAGTTTCTCCACATCCTTCTTCCCTGCTCTCTTTTTCCTACCCAACTCCTTGTGTTTCTGAAGACGCTAGAGGAGATTCCTGTGTGGAGGAGAGATGGCCGAGCACTAAGAGTTTTGTCCTGTTCTTGAAGAGGACCCAAGTTCAGTTTCTCACCCTCTTCAGGTGGCTTATAATCGACCTTTTATAACTCCAGCTCCACAGGGATCCAGCAGCTCTAGCCTTGTGTGCACACACTCCCCCCCCCCACACACACAGAATTCTTTAAAGACCTTGGAAGAGAAGGAAGAGACTATCTTTCTTTCATGTGTGCATGGAGTATATGTATGATCTTTGTGTGTATATGGTATATGCACATGAGTGTGTGGGTGCTCACACCCATGGGGAGGCCAGAGGAAGACACTCTTTTCCTCTAGCACTGTCAGCTTATTCCCTTGAGACAGGGTGTAGCTAGAGGTTTCCTGCCCTGCCCACAGTCAGGACAAATCTCTGTCACCCGCCAGTCCCACAGCCACTCAGACCCAACCAAGTAAACACAGAGACTTATATTGCTTACAAACTGTATGGCCGTGGCAGGCTTCTTGCTAACTGTTCTTATAGCTTAAATTAATCCATTTCCACAAATCAATACCTTGCCACGTGGCTCGTGGTTTACTGGTATTTTTCATGCTGCTTGTCCTGGCGGTTGGCAGTGACTCCTTCTGCCTTCCTGTTCTTTTATTTCTCCTCTCTGTTAGTCCCGCCTATACTTCCTGCCTAGCCACGGGCCAATCAGGTTTTATTTATTGACCAATCAGAGCAACTTGACATACAGACCATCCCGCAGCACAGCCAAGTGCAGACCATCTCAGACACCTGCACTCAGGCCCATGGTCCTAGTCATCCTCTATGTGGACCTGCTGTTAAAGCCACGAGGAACCCAAGAACGGGCTCCCACAGGACATACAGAACATCCCACAGCAACAGGGTCTCTCACTGAGCTGAAAAGCTCACCTTTTTGGCTAGGCTGGGTAGCCAGTAAGCTCATGGAATCCTCTGTCTCTGCTCCTGAAGGCTGGAGTTACAGGCACAGTAAGCCATGCCTGGATTTGTACTTGGGTGCTGGGGATTTGAACTCAGATCCTCATACTTGCACATAAGTTGACTTTCCCACGGACCTCTCTCCCAGCCCTAAAACTATTATTTGTTTATTAGCGACCATGACAGTTGTCACGTCCTTGTAAGCCCATGTACCACGTTGCATTTAGGGAAAAATATATCCCTTAACTAAGAGTTACTTATTATTGAATGTACCTTCTGACCAGTAGAAGCAACAGCTAACTGTTAACCTTGTCTTTTCAGGTACAGGGCTCCAGAAGTACTCCTGCGGTCTACCAACTACAGCTCCCCCATTGATGTCTGGGCAGTTGGCTGCATCATGGCAGAGGTGTACACCCTCCGGCCTCTCTTCCCTGGGGCCAGCGAAATTGACACGATTTTCAAAATTTGCCAAGTGTTGGGAACACCGAAGAAGGTAATGACATGGACCAAAGGCTCATGAGCCGAAGCCAACAGCTCCCTGCTCTGCCCCTCCCCCGTGCTGTGCACCACCAACCCACCAGACTGTTCTAGAGTCTCTCTTGACCTTGACCATTCTCCTCTGCCCAAGTTCTCTAGCAAGGCCAGCTTCTCCCCTTCGTTCTGCCTACAGCTAGAGTGTTTGTCATGGATCTCTCTATCCCCCTCTCGATATCATCTCACCCTTTACAGAATTTCTCCATTCGTATGGGCACAGTTATGTCTCCTAAGCCTTCCGAAGGTGATCTGTATCCCTACTTCTCTCCTTTATAACTGTTCAGATTTTAACAGCTGTTTGGGGCCTTTCTTCTCACTCCATCACCTCTGACTGAACTCACCTGAAGCACAGGGCTTACCATTTAGCATGCTTCCTTTCTTCATGGCCTGTATCCATATGTGGTCTTATCATAGTCCCCAGAGGGCCAGTCTTGAGGCTGAGTGTCATATGGCTCTTCAGTTTTTTTGTTTGGTTTGGGTTTTTGAGACAGGTCCTCACCGTGTAGCTCAGGCTAGCCTGGAATTCACAAAGATCTACCTGCCTCTGCCTCCTTTATTCCTGGGAGTGAAGGTATGTAACCACCATGCTCAGCTGAGGCTGTCTGTCTTTGCAGACTCACAGCAGAGTTGGAGCTGGAACTATGGATATCTCTGCTTGCTTCCCCTCCATACCCCCCACCCCTGCTCTACCCCAACATCACCCAACCCCCAACCCCATCCTCCAGGCTTTCCCTTCCAGCTTGTCTTTCAGTCTGTGACTAGATTCTTCTTCCTTAAAAACAGCTGTGGTTGTAATCTGGTCTTTGCTTGGAAGTATTCATCATCCCCCAGTCCCTCAGTTCATTGCTCCGTTCCAGGGCACAGCCTGGCTCTGTACCCTGGAATAGTCCCATTTCTGTGTATTGCCTGAGTGAATGTCTCTTTAGTGACCATCAAGGTCCCTTCTTCCTCCACGGGACTCAATGACGCTCCTCCCCACGGCTTCTCCAGTCTCTGCTGTATCTGTATTCTTTGCTATAATATACTTGTCTTGTGTCTCTTTTCCCAGCTCCCAGTACTATTGCTGTTGTGAATTCAATCTTCATTTTCCTTCCCTGTCCCCCCCTCCTTTTTTTAGTTTGTATATTTGTGTCTATGTGTCTGTGTGTCTGTGTGTGGCACCGGGTATCAAACCTAGGGCCTTAAACATGCTAGACAAAGTTCATTTCGTTTTTTTTAATTATTTGACTGAGTCATTACTGCCACCCTGTTAATGATAAGGTTTTCAAAGTACCCTGCTGGCCCCCTTCCTCTTTGTATCTATTATCTACCCCTCTGGTGGCCTTTGTCATTTTTTTTTTTTATTATACTTTAAAAGTATACCCTATTTTTGTCTTTTAAGGACAATGACATTTTTTTTAAAAATATTTATTTATTATGTATACAGTGTTCTGTCTGCACATATCCCCACACGGCAGAAGAGGACACCAGATCTCATTACAGATGGTTGTGAGCCACCATGTGGTTGCTGGGAATTGAACTCAGGACCTTTGGAAGAGCAAGCAGTGCTCTTAACCTCTGAGCCATCTCTCCAGCCCAAGGACAATGACATTTTAAGAGAAGAATTTATATTGAATTATTTTGGATACTCAACAACACTCAGCATTCACACAGGAACTGTCTGAGTGGATGGTATACATGGTACCAGTTGGCTCCAGGGAGAGGTCAAAATTCTATCAGGGTTTGCCTTACAAAACAGTAGTGTTAGAACTGGAGAAGCCTCAAGCCTGGCTGTTCAGATTTCCCACCATTCACTCCGGGCCTCCACAGATGTGATGCCTGAAAAGGTGGGGAGTGAGCCGGGCGGTGGTGGCGCACGCCTTTAATCCCAGCACTTGGGAGGCAGAGCCAGGAGGATCTCTGTGAGTTCGAAGCCAGCCTGGTCTATAGAGTGAGTTCCAGGAAAGGCTCCAAAACTACACAGAGAAATACTGTCTCAAAAAAACAAAAAAACAAAAACAAAAAAAACCCTGAAAAGGTGGGGAGTGGAGAGGACCTCTGTGTCTCAGCTAGTCCTCTCAACATAAATATTTACAATCATTGGCGATATAGTTAACACATGGAGTGTCACAGATCTATTGGTATTTTGCTTTACTTCATTTTTATTTTGTCTTCCCCCTCAAAAATACCATACGAGCAGTTTCCAAAACCCACGTGTCAGATGCACAGCAGGGAAAATGCTGAGGGCCTCAGTCCCCAGTTCGCCCAAGATGGACAGTCTTCTGTAAAGGATATAAAACCAGCCAGGCTGGTGGCAAGTCACTGTCTTTCCTGCCAGTTCTCAGATTTCATGCACTGTAGTCTGTGTGAGGGTAGCCGTGGGCCTCATCACATACACCTGACTAGTGGAGTCACGGGACAACTGCCTTTGGTTATGGGCGCATGTGGAAGACTCCCACACAGACACCGTCTGAGTAGCATTTCCTGTCTTTTCTTGTAGACTGACTGGCCCGAAGGCTACCAGCTGTCAAGTGCCATGAATTTCCTCTGGCCCCAATGTATACCCAATAACTTAAAGACACTAATTCCAAATGCTAGCAGTGAAGCCATTCAGCTCCTGAGAGACATGCTCCAGTGGGATCCCAAGAAACGACCGACCGCTAGTCAGGTTCGCCTGGTTCTTTTCTGTTCAAAGCATTTCTTAGGAAATCTCTACCTCACTCTGAGTATTTCTGTGAATTACGTTTGGTAATATGGCTGAAAATAGTACTGACTCCTATGAACTGGAGGAATTTAAGGTAATCTGAAACTTGTTGGGCATAATTAAAATAGTTAATATTAAACAGTTATTTATATTGAACATTAACACTGATATATCATATATCACAATGTGTAATATATGATATCATATATCACAATGTGCAATATATATACATATATAAAATCTGCAAATATAAAATTGCCAGCTAGGCATGGTGGTGCACACCTTTAATCCTAGCACTCAAGAGGCAAAGGCAGGCACGTCTCTGAATCCAAGGCCAGCCTTGTCTACAGAGGAATTCCAGGACAACCAGGGCTACACAGAGAAACTCTGTCTCAAAACACACACACACACACACACACACACACACACACACACACACACGCGCACACGCACACACACACACACACACACACACACACACACACAAGAAACATAAAATTGTCCAGGAATAAAGAATAGTTCAGAAAAGAAATGTGTGTGTGTCTGTCTGTGTGTCTTCGGAGGTGGTTTAAAATATGTTCTCTGAGAGTTAAGACCATTCAGTAGTTTGGCGATGAGCCAGCACGAGTGTTGAAAGGTAACTTAGGACACCAGCCCACTCATGGACAGACAGCCGGGACAGAACGGCAGCCAGATGCAGCTGGCATTTTCATGTACTTTGCACATGCTATGGTGTGTTTTATGTGGTTTCAACCTAGTGCAGAGCCCATGAGGTAAATGCTTTTGTGTTCACTTCTGTGGGTAATAAAACTAAATCTTAGAAAGTTGGAATGATTTTTCCCTATCCACTTATTCAGTAACTGGTACAGGTAGCACAGCTGCCTATAGTCCAGGTGGCAGGGCTTCTAGATGTCTTCCCGCCCACCTTCCCCTGGGCTGCATTGATAAATTATGAAATGTACCCAAAAGAGCCGAGGTAGCGCTTGTCACTCAGCGGCCTCTTGCAAGGCTGGTTTTGTTTGAACCTTTGTCAGCTTGACTCATGAACAATTAATTACACCGCTCAGAGCATCAAACAGAGAACCGGTTCTAACCAGAGGAGATGACCTGTGGTCTTCTATCACAGAAGGGCAGAGCTATCAGAAGAAAGTGCCAGTGTGAAGGTAGAATTTGTGGTACTGGAGAGATGACAGCTGGGGACGGTTAGGGGGCAGAAAAGTTCATTCTCAAAGTCCTAAGGAGGCAGCCTCAGCCTGGTACCAGCAGCTTCTGGCTGGTCAGACATGGTTAGAAAGTGCATGCCCTTCTGACGGTAAAAGTCACCAATGGTTTTAGGGCAGCAAGGAAAATTTCTGATGAATCACTTTATTTTTTTATAGGATGCCCATAAAATATTAAGTTAAACAAATCACAACAAATCTCGTATAACCAAACCCAAGGGAGGAATGATATCAGAAAAGCTAAAAATATCCCCAAATCAGATCAGACTTACAAAATGCCAGGAGCTACAAAGAATTCTTTCTAGTTATATGCCAGAGTCCTGGACTCTGGCACAGTACCCACATTATTTGGCTCTGAGTCTGCACTTACATATAATAATCATAGATGTGCTGGGCGGTGGTATCGCACGCCTCTAATCCCAGCACTCGGGAGGCAGAGGCAGGCAGATCTCTGTGAGTTCGAGGCCAGCCTGGGCTACAGAGTGAGTTCAAGAAAGGCATAAAGCTATACAGAGAAACCCTGTCTCAAAAAAAAAAACAAACAAACAAAAAAAAAACATAGATGTTTATAACTTAGGTTCCAGATCCATTAAGAAAATACTGTTATTTTCAGTGACTTCCATTAACAAATCCAGGGGAATACATATAGAATTTCATAAAGAATTGTAAGCTTCTGTATGTTAAGATTTATGCTTTGGTTAACCAGGAAACTCGATTATCCATAACTACAGGCAGCCGACTCTTGTCTTTATGGGAAGGTTTGAGTATTGTGTGTTGTACTCACACAATACAGCCTGAATAACGGCAGAGATAACTACTGCCTGTTTAGTTGGTTTATTAGTTGGTTGGTTGGTTGGTTGGTTGGTTGGTTGGTTGGTTAGTTTTGAGACAAGATCTTATATATTTATATAGTCCAGACTGACCCAGAGTTTCTGTTTAACCAAGTCTAGACTTTAACTTCTGATCCTCCTGCCTCCACTTTCCTGAGTGCTAAGATAATAGGCATGCCCCACCATTCCCAGATTCATACCATCTGCTTTAGCCGAATAACTTTAAGTATTGCAACTAATATGTAAATTCTATATGCAGTATGTTGGTTTATGGCATGTTTGGGCTCAGAGCCTGTAGCGAATTGGTCACACGACCTGTAGTCCATTGGTCGTGAAGGTGTTTACTCCCCCTTCTGGACTTTTCCTTCTAATGCCTCATTTGTCGTTCCAGGCCCTTCGATATCCTTACTTCCAGATTGGACACCCACTGGGCAGCATCCCACAGGATTCAGGAAAACCTCAGAAAGATGTCCAAGACAAGACAGCCCCACCTCCTTACATCAAGCCGGCCCCTCCTGCCCAGCCCCCAACCAAGGCACATACACTGATTTCTTCTCGACCAAACCAAGCCAGTCAGCCCCCTCAGCATTTCGTGTACCCCTACAAAGGTGAAGCCTCCAGGACAGAGCAGCTCAGCCATCTTCAGGAGGGCAAGCCAGGCCCAACGCTCTTCCCTTCCCTCCACAACAAGAACCTGCAGCCAGTAGGTGTCGAGTGTCTACAAGGAAACTGCAGTTTCTTCGCTCAGTTAATTCTCTTCTGGCTACAAATGTTGTGTGAAATGTTTTCCTTTTCAGTACATAAGGTCTTAGACGTTTATTCCCACAGTACCATGGCATTGTGAGAAGGCCCTTGATAGAAGGTCTGAATTCAGTTTCTGCCCTTTCTGTTAACAATCCCATTCTGTATTATTAGTTCCTTTGCCGTTGCTCTGATAAAACACTTGACTACGGCACCTTAGAGAAGAAGGAGTTTATTTGGGCTTATGGTTCCAGAGGGTCAGAGCCCATGATGGCGGAACAAAGGCTTCACAGCAGGAGCAGGTGGCTAAGGGTTCACAGCTTGAGCTGTAGACACCAAGCAAAGAGAGCATGCTGGGAACGGTGCATGACTTTGAAACTGCCAAACCCACTCCAGTGACAGATTCCCTCCAGCCAGGATGCACCTCCCACCCTGCCCAAACAGCACCACCACCTGGAGACCAGGCACTCAAGCATCTGAGCCCACGGGTATTCTCGTTCCAACCACCACTGGGGTAACCGTGGCAAGCTGGACTCTGTAACCCGAGTTCTGCTCTTCAGCAGCTTGGTGCATAAGCAAGTTACCCGGCTTCTCGGCTCCACATTATCTCACCTGTTAAACAGACGCCATTATAATGTCTACTTAATACTGTTGTAAAGACTTGAGAAGAATTGAGAACAGTACCTAGTATATCGTATCTCCAAAATATGTATAGTGCTAGCATGTTTTCTGTCAACTTGACACAAGCTGGAGTTATTGGAGAAGAAGGAACCTCAGTTGAGAAAATGTCCCCATTAGACTGGCCTGTGGGCAAGCCTGTGGGGCATTTTCTTAATTAGTGGTAGATGTGGGACGGTCCAGCCCACTAGAGGTGGTCCCACCCCAGGCACCTGATCCTGGGGTGTGTAAGAAAACAACATGAGCAAGACCTGAGGAGCAAGAAAGTTGCCATGGAGCAAGACCTGAAGCAGAGCATGGCTTCTGCTTCAATTTCTTGCTCTGCCTGGGCTCTTGCCCTGACTTCATTCAGGGGTGGACTGGAAGAGTAGGATGAAATACTCCTTTCCTCCATTAATTGCTCTTGGTCACGGTGTTTTCTCACAGCAATAGAAACCCTAACTGGTACATCATAGAACTCAGAAAGCGCCGGGCATTGTTGCTGTTCATCCCTACAGAGTCACGGTGTTCTCTTACAGCAATAGAAACCCTAACTGGTACATCATAGAACTCAGTAAGCCGCTGGGCATTGTTGCTGTTCATCCCTACAGTCAGTTTCTTCATCTGAGGAAGAAGATCTTAACTTATGTCCCCTCGCCCAGACCAGTTTGTTCTTGACAACAGAAGCTCCTAATGCCTGTGGCGATGTTTTGAAAATCCTAAGGAGCTGCAGTCAGCTTCTGTCTGTAGACTGTTTTTCATATTATTATTATGAATTGATGTCAATGCTGAACTATTAATTGAGCACAAATCTTTCTTCAGCTGATTTCTGAATAGACAGTGTGTGTTGGATCAGTAGAAGGACAACCTACCTGCCAAGGAGTTTATTTACTCCCTAATGCTCCCAAGTCTTACTCCCTAACACCTTTATGCAAAAGAGGTCCCTTCTCTGGACAGCTGTTCACCAGCATCCCAACCAGTACCATGTGTGTGTCCCCAGGGCTGTGGGCTTCCACCTCTTAGAACGTTATCCCTTCTCAAGATCGGGAAGTGGCCTGTTTGGAAAGTCCCTGTTATATTCTTCTGTACATAAAGATTATATCAGAGATAATTCCCAGGCCACTGAGAAGCCATTGTTTATATTGTTTGATGTGATACAGCAGGGTGACCAAGATTTGGCAATAATCGTTTGTCTACTATAGCAAAGGCCCAAGTTAGAATTTAGCCATCTTCCTAGTATGTCAGAAGAGTTGTGACTTCCTGTGGTGGTAAGTTTTGATTGTTGACCTGACACAATGTAGACTAAGTCTCAGTGAGGAATTGTCTCGATTAGGTTAGCCTGTGGGCATGCCTAGGAGGGAGTTTTCTTTTCTTTTTTTTTCCTTAAGATTTATTTTTGTTATGTAAAAAAAATTTGTGTGTGTGTGTGTGTGTGTGTTGAGAACTGAACTCTGGTCCTCTGCAGGAACAGTATGTGCCTATAACCACAGCGCCCTCTCTCTCCAGCCCACGGGTTTTCTTACTTGGGTTAACTGAGGTGAGAAGACCCTCAGTGTGCGCAGCACCATTTCAGGGGCTGGCACTGGACTTTATAAATGGAGACAGCAAGCTGAGCGCTGGCACGCATGTGCCCCTTTATTGCTGTCTACTCTTGGCTGTGGATGTTAACGGGACTGTTGTCTCAGGTTCCTGTCAGCACCTCTTCCTTACCAGAACAGACGGGAACCTGGAATTGCTCCACTGAGGCACACCCATCAGGGTGCCCTGGTACAGCAGCAGACTAAATTAGGATACTTTCTTACATCTTACTCTCTTACATTCTAGTTTCGTGAAACTTTGTAAACTTTTGTTTACAAAAAAAAGAAAGAAAGAAAAAGAAATAGTTGGTGCAGGATAAGTTGTAGACGGCGGTATGGGTCTACATAAAGGGCACAGATGCCCTTTCAGAGGAATGAGGCCTGTGGGGTGGCGAGGTCCTCCAGGTCCTCCTCACTGTAGTAATAAAGGAAATGCAGAACACACTCACACTCTCAAACACACGCACGGGCTATTGATAGGTGAACCCTGTTAATGTTGCTTTGTCTTTTCCTGTGTTTGTAGACACAGAAAATCCTCGCTGGCCTGGAACACAAAAATGGTGAAATCAAGCCAAAGAGCCGGAGAAGGTGGGGTCTTATCTCCAGGTCCACAAAGGGTTCGGACGACTGGGCCGACTTGGACGACTTAGATTTCAGTCCCACTCTCTCCAGGATCGATGTGAAAAACAAGAAGAGGCAGAGTGACGACCCCCTCTGCAGGCAAGTGTGCTTGCTTGTCCCTGGGAGCAAGCTGGCGCCCGTCACCGGGGTCTCTCTGATGACGCGCCACCAGTATCTCTCCTGACTTAAGCCACGTTCTCTTGATTCAGGTTCGAAAGTGTTTTGGACCTGAAGCCATCCGAGCCAGTGGGTACAGGAACTAGCGTCTCGACCCAGGCTTCCTCCCAGAGGAGAGACACGCCGACCCAGCGGTCTGCAGCCAAGCAGCTCTACTTGAAGCACTCGCGCTACTTGCCTGGTAACAGAGAGGGCGCCTCGTGCCTGGTAACAGAGAGGGCGCGCGTGCCTGGTAACAGAGAGGGCGCGCGTGCCTGGTAACAGAGAGGGCGCGCGTGCCTGGCCACAGAGAGGGCGCACGTGCCTGGCCTCCGCTCACCAATAGCCAGTCTTCGCCCCCGGGGTCACATGGGTTTATAGATTCTCTTTCAGAGGACCAGCACATCCCTACTTGTGCCCTACGTGACAGACAGTATAGATCACATCGTGTGGCCCCCCTAGCTAAAACCCTTTAGAGCTATCTATCCACTGCTCATGAAATGAAATCCAAATTCCTCACAAGCCCCAACATGCCTCATACGGCATGCTGTGTTGCCTCTGTGGTTAGAGTGCTCAGTACCCACGAGTGGGGACGTCATAGAATATTTGGGCCTTGCATTTCTATCTTACGTAGGCATCCTGAGATGAGAGACTTAGTGTAGAACGCTTCTGAACTCGATGACTTGGCAACAACTAGACAGCATGCCTGGAGCCTGTCTTTTTCTCTCTGTGTGCACTCAGGAACCCAGGGTAGGAGTTTAGTTACCCCTTCTGGACAGGTTTGGTAAGTGCCCAAGCCTCTCTCCAGCTTTCACATCCCAGCCTTACACTCTCATCCAGTCATCCACTTACAGATTAACTCAACCAGTCTGTATGTGTCAAGCACCCATTATGTGCTAAGCACTGAGAATATTATAATGAAGCAGGACCCTCCACCCTCACCTTCCACAAACGCACAGCTCCAGGGAGCTCCTTCACACTGCAGTCTCATGGTGGCATCATGGAACTACCCTGCAGATAAGGATGAGTGGCACTCACGGACTTGCAGTGAGACTTTGGCATGTAGTCATCACAGATGATATAGTGGTCAGGAAAGATTTCTCTGAGCAAATGGCTCGGCACCAAAAAATGAGAAAGACCCAAGTGTGCAGAAACCGAGAAGAGAACACAGCGGCCATGGAAAGATCAAGGGCAAAGCCCTAGAGGCAGGAAAGGCTTAGCCTGTGAGAGGAACAGCGCAGTGACCAGGGTGGCAGGGCAGAGAGCCAGAGGGACGGAGTGTGTAGCATGAGGTATCTTTGAAAACCTTGGAAAAAAAAAATTCTGGATTTCATTTTTTTGTTGTTGATTTTTTTGGGTTGGTTTTTTATTGTTGCTATTTTAGGGACAGGGCCTCACTATGTAGTCTTAGCTATATGAGAACTTACTATGTAGACCTTGAATTTACAGGGATCCTCCTGCCTCTGCTTCCTGAGTGTTGGGATTAAAGGCATGTGCTACCACACCATGCTGAATTTCCTTTTTTGAGATAAGGGAAATCCTTGAAAGTTCTTAATTGGAGGACATGGGTCTCCAGTGAGGGGCCAGCAAGCTCTAGCTGTTACCCGGGTAAGAGGAGGGGAAGCCAGTCTGGGAGTACAGTGAGAAGGAAAGCCTCCAGATGCATTAGTCTTCACTGTGGTCGGGAGTGTGATGAATCCGGGCAGGCTATCAGGTTTGACATTGCGCTGATGTTCCCTGGGTGACAAGCACGGGCTCCAGGCACAAGGGAATTACAGAGCTGATCCATCGCAGCTGGGGTGGAAGGAGATGATAAAAAGAATGTGTGAGCTTCAGTTCGGAAGAATAGCTGCAGAGCCTGGCGCTGGCAGGAGCATGGAGCATTGTGGAGGTTTGTCTTAAGGTCAGCTGCAAGGCTGCTGTGTTCTGTCCTGGGTGGCCCTGCATGTGAAGAGGCAGAATCCACGAGGCTTGTTGGCACAGTGAAGTCAGCAGCAGCTAACATCAAGGATGGTCCAGGCCATGGGAGAAGGTGGAACCTCAGAGAACAGACACAAAAAGAAGCCAAAGGCTGCAGAGGATGGCGTGGGGAGTATGGAGTGGGGGTGGGGAGTGGAGAGAACCTCAGTGAGTGACAGGAAAGAAGTCATTTGGGAAGAGGGCAGATTCAAACGTTAGGAGGCCTGAAGGAGTGCTCCTGAGGGAGAGCACCAGAAAGACAAGACATGGACAGCTCTGTTAGTGGAAGCGTAAGAAAACCTCTCAGACTGCCCTCAAATGAGACAATGCATTCCACTCAAAGATGTCCTCTTCCCTCTGCATCTGTCGGATGTTATCATCAATTTCCGGGGACATTTTGTACCACAGAAATTTTGTGTGTTCTGTATTACTTTTATTTTTGAAATTTGGCATAAGATTTATTTTACATTTCAAATGATCTTGGCTATGTCTGATTAAATCATCTAACATAATGTCACAGGCTACACATAAAAAGAAACGTACTAGGGTGACTGTAAGTATCTAAGTCATTGTTCTATTGCTGTGAAGAGATACCATGACCATAACAACTCTTTTTTTTTTTTTTTAAATTTATTTAACTTTATCTTATGTGTATTGGTGTGAAGGTATCAGATCTTCTGGAACTGGAGTTACAGACAGTTGTGAGCTGCCATGTGGGTGCTGGGTCCTCTGGAAGAGCAGCCAATGCTCCTAACCCCTGAGCTGTCTCTCCGGCTAATATCCCGTTATGAGATGTACCACTGCTTCTGTCTGTCTGTCTGTCTGGTTTATCTTGCATTTTAAGCTCATTTTCTTCTCTACTAGGAATAAATATAAGAAATGGCGTGCTCCCAAATCCAGGCAAGGACTTTCCTCCATCAAATCCATGGTCCAGTTCTGGTTTGTCTGGAAAATCTTCAGGAACAGTATCAGTAGTGAGCAAAATAACTTCAGGCAAGTAGCAGTAATTACCTTCTGAGTTACCAGAGGCAGGTTCCCAGGATGCTTTGGGGTTTGGAGAAGGGCACATAGAGAACTGTGGGATGAGGACTTTCTGGTCTGAGTGACAGGCATCTCTTGGGCTTCCCTGCCTTTTGCTCGCTCCCTTTCTTAATAGTAGCCCTTGGGGTTCAGCCAGCTCCCACAGTGTTCTGTCCTCCGGGGAGATGGGGAGTGGAGCAGTGCCCCCTCCCCCAGGGGGAAGTCGAAAGTAAGTGTACAGACCTAGCAGATCTGACCCCGATGCCCTGGTGTGCCTTGGGCACCTGACTCCTAAAGTCAATATTGGTTTGGTCTTCTCCAGCTGGACTTTCTGACTGGTGAATCTGCCCTGCCCACGGAATCAGAATCCCTTTTGATTGGAAGATGGACGGCTTATCAGGCACCCCCACCCCCACCCCATGGGCACACATTTAAAAAAAAAATAAAGTCCTCCAAACTGATTTGCCAGGTTCCCAGTAGACAATTTCCCCATGCTATTTCACAGCCCTTGCTGAGGGCTGGTTCCTCTTCCACAGCTCCTAGGACGCACCTAACCCTCGCCGCTCCTCACCTTCTTCCATTAGGGTTCACTTAGGAATACAGTGCCCAGGCACCCATCATGCCACCTAAGAACACACTTGAGGCCGAGAGTCTAGCTGAGTCCCCACACACCGCCCCGCCCCCACCCTGCCCCCACAACATACCACACCACCTCACACCACACCACCCTGCCCTGTCCTGCCCCAGGCCAGATTGGGTGTTAACTTTTCCTGTGCATTTAAAAATATGTATGAAATTCAGTGAGTTTTCCATATTTTAAAGTTTATATGAACACTTCCTTTTAAGGAATAATATGTGTAGCAAGTATAATTATCTACCCTAAATTATAGAATATGCTATGTGTGGTTGTATGGTGCCGAGACTCATTATTATACTGGATCACTATTTATTCCTTGTTTTCTCAACAAGCACATGGCTATTTGTAGCTCATCCCTCAGAAGGGGCCAAGGTGGACACTTCTGTATCCATGTTGCTATTCACACAGGCACCAGGTCCTCTGCTGGAATCCGCATTTTAGGTGAGAGGGTGTGCCCATCTTGGGCTTTGGAGAGACTGTCAGATTGCTCCCCTGCTGGGTGTGGAGTTGTGCCTCACCCTTGGTGACACTTGGTACCCAAGACTACAGTGAGTCTTGGTCTGGTCTAAAACGGTGTTCTGTGTTTAAACTTGTATGTCTTTGAGAATGAGGTTTGTTCCTCATGTTTATTGATTATTTTTTATTGGGGGGTGGAGACTTGTTCGAATTCTCCTCTCATTTTTCTTCTTATCTCCTCATTAACCACTACTGCACAGTGACTCCATCTGACCAACCTTCTACATTCATTCCAGGACATTTGCCCACTCTGCCTTAAGCAGTTACTAAATGCCGTTTTTGCTTTCAAGAGAAAACAACTGTACCATTAACACTTCCTCACAGGTGGAACGTTTATCTGTTTAGTGGTCTGTAATATCTTTCTCCATTATCCCTGTGTGCCTTTAAGCCATAATGGTCAGTGTTAGAAATACTCATTTGTCTGTCCGTGTTAACTGGTTACCTGCTATTTCAAATTATACCAATATCCTCCTAGAACACAAAGGAGGCAGGGTGCTGTCCACCCCCACCACACCTTCAGATGGGGATGATAAAAACAAGCCGATGGCACACACCTGTAAGCCCAGCGCTCCGGAGGCTAAGGCAGGCAGACTGCCCATTTGGGGCCAGCCTGGGCTCTGTAGTGAGACTCGGCCTCAGAAAAGAAAGAAAGGGAGAAGGAATGAGGGAGAGAGACATGGCAGGTAGACATAAACAATGAATTTTTAGGACATTTTCATTGGGGGCCTGTGAGATGGCTGGGCAGCTAATGGTTGTTACTGTGCAAGCCTGGAGACTTGAGTTAATTCCTGGAACCCAAGTGAAGGTGGAAAGAAAGGACTGACCCCATAGCTGTCCTCTGACCCCATGTGCTTGCCATGGCATTCACCCTCCCGCACACATCGTACAAACACCATAGTAATAAACTTAAATATATATATATATGTACATATATGTGTGTTTGTTTGAGACCGTTTCTCTGTGTAATAGGCTGTCCTGAAACTCAGTTTGTAGCCCAGGCTGGCCTCAAACTTACAGAGATCCACCTACCTCTGCCTCCCAAGTACTGGGATTAAAGGCATGCGCCACCACCGCCCATCTTAAAAATATTTTTAGCCGGGCGTGGTGGCGCACGCCTTTAATCCCAGCACTCGGGAGGCAGAGGCAGGCGGATCTTTGTGAGTTCGAGGCCAGCCTGGGCTACCAAGTGAGCTCCAGGAAAGGCGCAAAGCTACACAGAGAAACCCTGTCTCGAAAAAACCAAAAAAAAAAAAAAAATATTTTTATTAGTAGTTAGTTTTTCTAATTATCAACAGGATATTTAGTTTATATTTCTAACATCTAGATAGATGAGATTACCTTTGTGTACGATCAGTTAAGTGAATTATGTTCAGCTGTTCTTCAGAATTTGCATATACTGACAGGATAGTCCATAGGATGGAGCAGAAAAAAGAAAGTTCTAGAATGGGTAAACCAATTCTTGGGGGGAAAAAAAACACAGAAACTATCAAATATGTGCCTTGTTTAGTTTAACACCATCCGCCTAGATGCTGTCTGTGGGAAGGCGCTTCCTGTGCCCTGCTGGCCTTCCTGCCTGTGGTGTGGTGGCATCCTTCTCAGAACTCTCCTCATTCTCCTTTTTCCCCAGAATGTAAAAACAAACTGCTGTGTGCTCACGGTCTCATGGAGTGTGTCTTGGTAGTAATGAGTTTTCCTTTCCACACCTCAGTTGGCTCAGGCTCTACGAGTTCCAGCGGACTGACTGGAGGTTACATCCCTTCCTTCCTGAAGAAAGAAATCGGTTCTGTTATGCAGAGGGTACACCTGGCGCCGCTCACCGACCCCTCCCCTGGTGAGTGGCGTTTCAGATCATCTGTAAGGGAATCCAGTAGTTACCAAACAGCTGCCTCGTGTTAGGAACAGTGTAGACAGAACAAGTCGGGCAGCACTCCTTGCCCGGGGTGAACTTGTGCTCTATAGATGATACATGAATTAAATATATATTCACATTTGCTTTTATGTGACATAAATGCATGTATATATAAGTCACATATACTAAAGTCTGATGTGCATAAATGGTAAGGGAAAAACCAAAGCCGGCAAGACCCGGGGGTAAAGATGGGGAGGAGGTTAGTGAGTGAGCGCCCCAGCCCTGTGAATGGCATGGGATTCTTGCGGACACGGGCTTTGGAGCTTATCAGGCCTAGCACATCCAGGGAGCAGTGAAGAAGCCAAAAGGCATGGGGCTAAGAAGAGACACGGGGGCTGGAGAGATGGCTCAGAGGTTAAGAGCACTGCTTGTTCTTCCAAAGGTCCTGAGTTCAATTCCCAGCAACCACATGGTGGCTCACAACCATCTGTAGTGAGATCTGGTGCCCTCTTCTGGCCTGCGGGGGTGTGTGCAGACAGAACACTGTATACATAATAAATAAATAAATCTTTAAAAAAAAAAAAAAAAGAAGAGACATGGGGAGTAGCTAGAGCAGGCAGCTCAAGTATATGGTCATTGGCTGATCTTGGGAATCTGCTGGAGGGTTCTGTGTGGGCCGCCATCTGCACACGCGTCCTCCAGCTGACTGCTGTCCTTAGACTAAACGGGAGCCACATTAGAAGCAGGAGCCGTAGCCTGGGCCAGGGTTGTCAACCCTTGATAACATCCACCACATTCTGGGTCTACATGGGATGCAGGGCCAATAGGGTTTGCTGACAGAGTGTAGATGAGAGAAAAGAGCGGCCTAGGGTTTTGACTAGACAAATCTTCCTGCGGGTTCCTTCCTGCCTGCAGGAGGGTGGCGGAGGAGGCAAGTGCTCCTCCTGGACGTTGCAGACATTTATCCCTGTGCTGCGCTTTCCTGCCCTTGGCTTGGCTCCCTCGTGGGTCAGTTCAGCATTTCTCTTCCACTGCAGGCTATTCTTCCCTGAAGGCCATGAGACCTCACCCAGGGAGGCCTTTCTTCCACACCCAGCCTAGGAGCACTCCTGGGTTGATTCCACGACCTCCAGCCGCCCAGCCTGTGCACGGCAGGATAGACTGGTCTTCCAAGTACCCATCCCGTCGGTTACTGTCTCAGCCATGAGGCCATCCTCCCTCCGCTGACTCCCTTGCACCCGCAGAACCGCGTGATGGTGTAAAAGCACCCAAGCTTATAGCTGTTCTGAACTAACACATTTCAATATTTCTTTTAAAAGTTTTTTTTAATATTGATTTGAATGCAATACCCTCTTTTTGTATAAAATTATTTTATTCTAAAACTGGGTCTCATTATTTTCTTAAACAACAGCATTTTGTATATATGGATTATGTTTTAGCATTTTATACAGTCAACTTTGTAATGAACTTTTTAAAGATTAAGTAATTTTTGTTTGTTGTTCCACATAATATTTTATACAGATTTTGAAATATATAATAATATTGATGCAGTATTGTGATAGGGTGCAGTTTAATGCTGTGCCGTAAGGGATTATGTACTCAATATATTCGAATATTGTGAAGAGGCTGCATTTTAATGTGGCTCATTTGGTACTTTAGGCTTTCCTGGACTGATCTGAGGAAAGCGTCCCATCCACTGCTTTTCTTAACAGCTTGTATCGGTTGTTCTGGGGGCAGAAGTTGTGTTGTTGTTGTTGTTGTTGTTGTTGTTGTTGTTGTTTTGAAACAGGGTCTTATGTAGCCCAGGCTGGCCTACCACTTACCAAGTAGCTGAGGATAGCATTGAACTTCTGATCTTCCTGCCTCTGGCTTCCTGAGTGCTGCCATGCTTGGTTTTAACCCAGGGCTATTATTACATGCCTAACAGCCCTCATCTACCATCCTTTATACTACTGTTCTATTAGAAACTGTCACTTTATCTGGACTTGTTTCACTTTATTTTTGCCCCCAGAACAAAGAATTTTTTGAAATTTTATGACGCTCATAAATACAGTTGCAAATATCCAGATAAAAACCAAGCATAACCATACTAAACTATCACATTTCTACCTTTTTTTTTTTTTTTTTTGACTGACAGGGTTGCTTTCTACTGGTTAAAATCCCCACTGGCCTCCAGCTTCAAGTAGTGCACTCCTGGCGGTGAGGATGAGGGAGGGGTGGAGCAGGGACAGCCAGCTCCCTGCTGGGCAGACACTGAGGGAGATGGCAGGACCTGTAGTCACCAGGCATTGTTCAGGTGAGCTTTTCTTGTTCAGTAGGGCCTATCAGCCAGGAGGACCTACCTACCTACCTACCTACCTACCTACCTACCTACCTACCCACCTACCTACCCACAGCAATGCCAGCAAGCCTTCCTCCGGCCTTCACTATCCCCAGCTCACCTGCAGCAGACTAAAGATGCAGAAAACAATACTTAGCTCAAAACCAGCCGAGCCACGGAGGCCGGTGGGGAGGTTGCAGCCCCCTGCAGGTGTCTACACCTACCTCCCTAGAGCCAGAGAGGAGGCTTCCTCCCACCCCTGTGGTCCATGCTTCTTTCCATTGTTAAAAACTCTGGGCTGAGAGATGACTCAGCTGCTCCCATTCCAAGGGATCCGATGCCCTCTTCTGGCCTCTATAGGCACCTGCATGCATGTAGATACCCACCCACTGACAAACCCATGTCAAATCTTTATAAAATCCAGTTGTTAAAATCCCTTAAAAGGGAAGCCTTTTTATGTCAAAGGTACCTTTTTATTATAATTTTTCATTGGTTTATTGTAAAAAATTTCCTAACGTATGTTAACACAATCAATTAAACTTATATCCCTGCCAAGATGAATGACCAAAAGAGCCTAGTGTCTTTCTATACAGCCCTGGCTGTTCTGGAACTCACTCTAGACCAGGCTGGCCTTGAACTCACAGAGATCTGCCTGCCTCTGCCTCCTGAGTGCTGGGACTGAAGGCATGCACCAACATGCTATTTTATTTTTTAACTGATAAGGAATGTTACATTCAGCTCAGCTCGCCACACCTGACTAGGGGCAGCTCATCAACTTTCCGAGCCAACATCTCAGGACAACTTTAGGAGTGGGAAAGACTTAGGGGAGAATTTCAACTTACCTGAGAAGTCACAGTTGCCACGATGTTATGTCTAGACTGTGCCACATCCCCACCCCCACCTCGTGTGGTCTCTTTCAAGGGTGAGACCTCTGTGGGACAGGCTGTTCCATTGAGAGGAATGTTTACAGCAGTTTTGCAGATGACAAAGCTAGTTTGGAGCCAGAACGATGCAGAGGATCCCCTTCCTTCCACCTCTGTATTGCACATCTGCCTCCACTCGTGGTTCCCTTACATAAGGACGGGTCACCACCAGCAAGTGCAATAGCAAACCTCAACGGGATATTAACTCACGTTCTCCCAGGGCCCAAATGACTCTTTTGGTTACAGTTTCCAAATTCCGGCAAGGCAACCCTTCCGAATTGTTCTTTTTTTTTTGGTTGAAAGGGTAAGGTGAATGCAGACATTCCCATAGAGTCCGACCTAATAAATTGGTTAACGATTGCTTTGATGTATAAATAATGACTTCCAAGGGGCTCTGTCTGTCCTAAAATTAGAAAATAATTGATGCTTTGGAGAATCTGACTCAAAAGTACACTTGACCAAGCACTTTGATTCTGAGAGGTGTGTAGAAAGCACACAATGGACATGGGTTTGATAGGGTGTGTCTCCCTGTCAACAAGCTGGCAACGAGACTTGAGAAAATGTATATGCAAGCACAACTTGAGACCATTCCTGTATGTATTATATTCTAAACCAACAAAATGTGTGTTCAGAGCTGAGTCCTCTACTGTGAGGTTAATATTTATTTTCTCTTTTCTGTATTATGTATAAAAAGTAAATTAATCTCAGATCCTGTTCAGCTAGCTGGAAAGTTGGCTTTAAATTTTAGATAGCACTTAGATATACAAATAAATCATTAGCACCACATTCTCCATAATCTAGCTAGTGTTAACTAAGGCCATTCTATTCCTTTTAATTGACAAAAAACCTGGTTACAGGACGTTATAAACTTGTTTTCCTAGTGCTTTGTGGGCCCTCCCTTCACTTTCCTTCCATTACTAGCAAACGGCTCCCCTTGAGAAGTTAAACATACTTGTTTACATGAAAGAAGTGACTAGGAGCTGAGAAAACTAGATTACTGAAAACCCAAGTTCTAAAGACCTCGCAAAAACCTCAGAAGTACTTTTCCCTCCTCAAAATGGGTAAAGGAGAAACTGTATACAAGTTATGTAATGTAGAGGAAAGTAGACCTTTTTAAACAGTGATAGTCAAAACTGCCTGTTGCATACATTTTTAGCTACTGTAGAATTATGAAGTGGAAAGCAAAATACTGGCAGGTGTGGTGAGTTAGACTGCACCTACCCATGACTACATCTCATTTACAACCGCAAAGCTTTTGGGGGGCTGGAGAGTGGTTCAGAGGTTAAGAGCGCTGGCTGCTCTTCCAGAAGACCCAGGTTCGATTCCCAGCACAAACAAGGTAGCTCACAACCATCTATAACTCTAGTTCCAAGAACGCTACCCTCTTTTGGCCTGAGGGCATCAGGTCAGGCATGCACATGGTGCACAGATATGAATGCAGGCAAAGAACCTCTAGAGATAAAATTTAAATTATATTGCATTAAATTAAATAACTTTTAAATAAAGGGGATTTATTATTTAAAGAAAACAAAACAAAACCAAAACCAAAAACAGCTTTCTGGCGAGCCAGGAAATGGTACAGAGTGGCTCATTTTGGGCCTGTTTTGGTGGCAGGGTTTGCCTCACAGAGACAAGGGAAACTGCATTTTCGTAAAAGCTGTTGTTAATATTTTCTTTACAATAATCCCATCAGTTACCAAGTGTAGAAAGCTGATCCTAAAACAATGTTTCAGACATAGGGCTTGCCTGAGGACCACCTACTTCTAAAACAGTGTGACACTGTCATGTTCTAGAAATATCAAGACCTGGATACACGAAGGCAAAGTGTGTCAAAGAAAGACTCACTTTCAATGCCAGTGTAAGTACTGTTGGAGTCCATGGCACCGTATTTTCCTATGAAGTCACATTTCCATAACATCAAGCCATTGCCTTGTGCCATTGGGGTGTGTGTGTGTGTGTGTGTGTGTGTGTGTGTGTGTGACACAAACTCTCTCAACTTACTGTATGACCAGAAGCAATATGTTTATAAGAAAACATTTGACATACTCATTGTTTTATGTTTTAACCATATTGTCGCGATGGGTTTAATATATGTGCATAGGTATTTTTTAGAATTGTTTTTACAGTTTACAACCAAATGTACTGTATGTTCGTATAATTTATAATGATGACCTGCTCATGTAAATTATAAAAACAAAATAGGGGCGTGTGTCATCTTATTTGCTGTTGGTTTTTCCTTCAACACGGATAGTGTGACTTGAACACCACCTGGATGAAGCCTCTGATCTCCCATATTCTCAGTACAGAATGCAGGTTAGTTCTACCGATTTGATTATAAAGTGATCTTCCCTTACCTAGAAGGCAAAGAACAGGAAAAAAGAGACCCTTCTGAAACAAAATGTTTCTTTTTGAATGATTTATCCGAAGATGTTTGATGGTGTTAACATTATATATGGAAACTTCTGCTCCAAATAAAGTTACAATTTAAGAAAATTGATTTGATTATTTTGATTCTTTTTTTGTACCTTTCACTAGCTGGTAACTTCAGGACTAAGAAGAAACAGTTGTTACTGTTGTTGGTTTTGTTGTTGTTTGGTTGGTTGGTTTTTGGTTTTTCAAGACAGGATTTCTGTGTATAGCCCTGACTGTCCTGGATCTCTGTAGACCAGGCTGGCCTCAAACTCACAGCGATCCACTTTCCTCTGCCTCCTGAGTGCTGGGATTAAAAACCTGCACCATTTGAGATAGCATCTCACCATGGAGCTCAAACTGGCCTGACCTGATATTCCTGCCTCCACCTTCCTGAGTGCCAGGATCACAGTAAGGACCACTGTCCCTGACTCTCTGGCTAATTGGCCTCTCTCTCTCTCTCTCTCTCTCTCTCTCTCTCTCTCTCTCTCTCTCTCTCTGTGTGTGTGTGTGTGTGTGTGTGCGCGCGCGCGCGCGCGCGGTTTTTTGAAATATGGTTTCTCTGTGTAACAGCCCTGGCTGTCCTAGAACTCACTTTGTAGACCAGGCTGGCCTCAAACTCACCGAGACCCACTTGGCTCTGCTGGGTTTAAATGCATGTGCTGCCCCAACCCAGCTAGAGGCTGTCTTTTAGGCAGCTCAGCTTGTCTGAAAGTGTCTCTCAAGGGGCCTTACTGCTTATAAGTGAGAGAGGGTCTTAGTGTATCTCATTAGTTTTAGGGACTTCCTGAAACCTTTTAATTGTTTGCTTTCTGAACTTAATGAGCTTCTTTGAAAATATAGTGTTTAACCTTCCCCTTTAATATAATATGTTGTAAGCAGCTAGAAGATGGAAGGTTCTATCTCAGGAGAAATTACTACACAACAAAAGTATAATCAAAGACAAAAATGATTGATATGTTTCTTGACAGTCCAAGGGATGGCACTCCCCAGACCCCAGGCTTAAGTCCATATGAGATGTTATTTACACCATTATTTCTCACTAACAATTTGTTTTCTTCCTAAGGAAAATGCTACCCAAATATAGAACATTATAACAGCTCAGTTCAACACTGTAGCACCTTCCTGCAGCCAAGAGAGACGGTTCTAATATTGTTTAATCTAAAAATTAAGTGGTGGGTCATTTCCTTCTCTCCCTGCCTTTCCAGGAGCCATCGGGAAGGTGTTATGAATTTGCATAAATGGGGAATCCCAGCTAGCCAGGTGTGAGGGTGAACATGCTGGGCAGGTTGGGGAGGGGGACAGTGAAGTGTGGAAAGTCATTCACACCCAGGCGCTGCATCCACGTGGAGAGTTTATTATAATAGAGAGAGGAAGAAAAAGGCAGTAGACATAAAAACAAAGTAGAAAGAGTAGGGAGAGAAAGCGGAGGTGTGCACACCTCATGGGAATGGAGAGACAGAGACAGAGACAGAGACAGAGAGAGATACAGAGAGAGAGACAGGGAGAGAGAGGAAGAAGGTGAGGAGATTTTCCATAAAATGGGGCTTTTACGTCAGAATACAGAGTGGCCCCAAGGGGTGGGTCAGGATACTAACATTCCTATTTTGATGATCATAAAAAGAGGTGAGTTATGGGAGCAAGTGGGGGAACAAGGGCGCTGAATTCCCGAGACTGCTTCAAGCCGACAGAGGGCGATGTGGGGAGCGGGGAGATCTGTGCATCTGTTCCTTGAGGGAGCTGAGGAGGCAGGTTGCAGCAGTGGTGTTCCAGCTTGGGGGAGTGGCAGGCCATGCCATATCAGGAGTATAGAAGCCATGGCATCTGCTGTTTCTCTGGAGGTCAGGCGGGAACAATGAATCTGCAAAATATGCTCGAAAAATAGGTGGGATCAGAAATGGGCTCTGGAGATCGTTAGTTTTCATCAGACCAGATTTCTTGATGCAGTAGCAGAACTTTTCCCAGGAGCCTGTAGGTATCTGTAAGACAGCTGGAATAGATTTAGAAGAACTTTCCCTAGGAACCTGTAAGTATCTGTAAGACAGCTGGAATGGATTTACGTCATGGCAAAAGGATTAAAAATCTTAAGAAGCATTTGTTGAAACTTTGAACCTCTGGAGTTACACAGCATCTTGCCAAGTCCAAGCAGTGCCGGGCAGTTCCACAGAGCCTGGACAATGAAGTGAAACAGCCAGCTACCCCAGGACGTGGCCAGCACCGTAGTTTTCTCAGGTCCCCTAAAGATGATCGGCACCGCCCATACCAGCAGGAAGCAGTCTGGAGAACACGGCGCCCTCATCCCGCCTCACCTGCTACCCCTTTCTAACTCCTCACCTTTTTATAATAAACAAAAGGCAGGCGTGTTGGCATTCAGGCATCTGTACTGGCCTGCCCTCAGGGTCCTGACAGGATGTCCTCAGCTGCAGCCACTAAGAGCACCCCCTGTGCCCATTCACTTATAAAAGGCGGGCCTTGCCCACCTCCCGTCTCCTTTCCCTTTCTGGTCCCTACCCGCTTCTCAGTCTCCTTTCCTGCCCCCTCTCTGCCCCTTCTCTCATTCCTTCCCCTCAATAAACCTCCTACGTGGGCCCTGTTATATGGTGTGACTCCTTCCCGCCGTTTTAAAACTACAACAGAATTGACCTCACACTATGAGTCTAGTCACTCCAGTAGTTAACCCAGGGCCTGAAAACATCCTGAGTTCCAGTGGATTTGGACTTGAACATTTTAAAAATATCCCATTTTGGCTTCCCCTGATGCCTTTCCCAGAACTCATAATGCCAACCACACACTCTAGCTTTTACTTCTCTGTTGTGGAAGATTCCTTTACACTGTGAAGATACGTCACTGTTACTGGTTTAATACAAAAAACTAAACAGTCAATAGCTAGACAGGATTTTAGAGGCAGAGAGAACACCGGGAAGAAGAAGGCAGAATCACTAGCCAGATACAGAGCAAGCAGGATGGGCACTACAGAGATGAGGTAATAAAGCCACGAGGCAGAAAGTAAATTAATAGAAATGGGTTAGTTTATAAGTTAGAGACAAGCCTAAGCTTCCATAATTGATTATAAGTCTCCATGTCATGATTGGGGAACTGGCTGGTGGGACAGAGAAAGACTCTACACTTCTCCCTCAAATCTGTTTCCAGACACCCATCCTTCCCCACACTTGAGTCATACAAAGCTATTGATGCACTTTTGGGGTCTTTTAGATAGGCCCACTGGAGGGGTACCCCAACTGCCACACCCAATAAAGGGAACTCCAGTCAGCACAGTATACCCCAAGGCCGAATTCTCAACATGAAGATTTATTTACCCCAGAAGGACAAAGGGCAGGGGATAAGAGACAAAGAAGAGGTAGAGGATGAGGAAGGAGACAGGAACAAGGGAGACAGGGAGGGGGTATTTGGGGTGTTTGTCCTGGGAGACAAAGGACTGCCTCTGGATAGAGACAGACAGGGTCCATAGGCAAACTGCGGTTTATAAATATAAAAGGAGGACACCCCACCACCACCACCGTGTTGGGATGAGGTGCTTGATTTTCATTGGGTATGTTAATTAGATGAGCCAAAGGGGCACTTTTGATTGCTGGACTTTAACATTTTGATAGCTGGACCTTGGTAGTCAGCCTCGGGAGGAGGAAGTGGCCAAATAAGGGACTAGAGCTTGGTAGCTAGCTTTAGGAATGTAATCTAACGGTTTGGCAAGGCAGAGGGGATGGGGGAGGGGCAAGCTCTGCCAGATCTTGCCGTGCTTGGGCCAGCTAGAGTCCCTTCACCCGATGCCTCTGATCATTTGGAAGAAGCAAGGTCAGTCAGTATCCCAATTCCCAGTGGCAGTTACCTGTGTAGAGGGGATGATGAGAACAGGAGACAGAAATTAGCTAGGCGGCTCAGGGTAAAAGACCCCAAAGAAAAGTAACCAGTTTATTTCTTGGCTAAGAGCCAGAAACAAAGGACTGGCAAGATGGCAGAGGACCCAGGTTCAGTCCCTCAGTACCTACATGGAGGCTTACATCCAGCAGGAACTCCAGTTTCAGGAGACCCAACACCCTCCTCTAAACTCCTTAGGTGTCAGGTCCACACGTGGTGCACATGCATACAGGTAGGCAAGATGCTCATAAACATAAAAGTAAATAATAAATAATGTAATAAAAAAAAATAAAAGCCAGAAACGACAATGGGGCCTCTTGACAGCCACGTCCTAGCCAGAAGCCAGAGATGTCAGAAACATTAATGAGGGCGCAGATCCCTGATCTGGCTCCTGAATGATTGTTAGTTGGGGTTACTTCTTGAAGGGGGTGGATATTAGTGTATAGTAATAAATGTGTATTAAGAAAAAAACTCCTTCCAGTCAAGAGAATAGAATTTCTAGTCTGGGTGGAGACCTAACATTCTACTTGGGCTAGGTCCATCACCCGGGCAAAGGACCGCCCTAGGTAGGCGGGTATAGTGTAAGCCATGCTAAAGAAGCAGAAAAATTAGCCTAACAATGAGATACTGTCTTTACCTTCTCAGAAAGTCAGCCTGCAGGGCCACAGCCTGGAAGCTCCCCATGTCTGTCTGTTTTTCTAAATTATACAGAAAACTGTGAGCTCTCCTTTTCTTTTCCTTCCTTCCTTCCTTCCTTCCTTCCTTCCTTCCTTCCTTCCTTCCTTCGTTCCTTCCTTCGTTCTTCCCTCCCTCCCTCCCTCCCTCCGTCCTTCCCTCCCTTTCTCTCTCTTTTTTTTCTCGGAGCTGAGGACTGAGGCCAGGGCCTTGCACCTACTTGGCAAGCGCTCTACCACTGAGCTAAATCCCCAACCCCTCTTTTCTCTTTTTTAAAATCTCTTTTCTAATCTAAGCATGCGTTCCATATTACCTTGGGTTTTCTTACTCTTCCTCCAAAGCTCCCCTGTCCCACCATGTTCCATAATCTATCTTGTCCAGGCTAGGTTAAATGGGATAACTTTCTTCACCACCTCCCACTCCACTCTCCTCCTCCAGCCAGCAGTCTAGAGTTACAGCTTGCCTGTACTGGGGGTTTGTCTTTTCAAGTGTAATAATATTATCCTAATAACATTGTTTAAAAAAATAAATTTAAGCTGG